TGCCCGTGACGCGACGTTGCCGGAAACTCGCTAAACGCGCCCAGGAAGTGTAGAGTGAATTAGGCAACGCTAACGTCTAAATAACACGGCGGCGAATCCCCGCGGAGATGATCAAAGTCTACTCTTAAGGATGTTCGACACCCTTTTAGCCAAAATTGACGTTGTTTTCATTTTTCTGGCAAATTATCGATGGGAGTGACGTGAAAAAATATAACGATTTTGTGGTTTGTCATTCTTTAATGGCTCACGAAGTTGCGTAGTGGTGCGATAATTTTCATGCGTTTTTTCTACAGTTTTGTGATACTTTTTAAAAGTTTAGGGAAAACGCAGGAAAATGTTCGCACCACCTTAAAATTTCCTCAGTCATTACATAATGACAAAAGGCGGCGGCGAATCCCCGCGGAGATGATCAAAGTCGCAGGGACGTGTTTGGTGACCAGACTAGGGTTAACCGTCTGCGGGGTAAACAAACAATAAACAATTTTTTTTGCACTAACCATTTGTTTTTAGAGATATATAATCGATCGTCAATGTATGAGAAATCTCATTCCAATAGTCCGCGACTTTCAAAACATAGTAGTCTACTCTTAAGGATGTTCGACACCCTTTTAGCCAAAATTGACGTTGTTTTCATTTTTCTGGCAAATTATCGATGGGAGTGACGTGAAAAAATATAACGATTTTGTGGTTTGTCATTCTTTAATGGCTCACGAAGTTGCGTAGTGGTGCGATAATTTTCATGCGCTTTTTCTACAGTTTTGTGATGCTTTTTAAAAGTTTAGGGAAAACGCAGGAAAATGTTCGCACCACCTTAAAATTTCGTCAGTCATTAAATAATGACAAAACGCAAAAACGTTATATTTTTTCACGTCAATTCCATCATAAGTTTGCCAGAAAAATTAAAAAAACGTGAATTTTGGCAGAAAGGGTGTAGAACATCCTTAAACAAACCTGATGGTTACATAAAATTGATGCGTCCTGTTTCCACACTCAATTCCTCAATCTAAAAAAATGATGTTCAATGACGTCAACTATTTCGCAATAAGTAGCCATCCCTGACCATCTCAACTTTGTAAGATCGACTTGACAATATAAAAATTATATACTCAATTACTTATCAATTCATTCATAATTTATTGCCCTCCTCCACTCAAATAATCCACAGAATAATAAATTCACCTTCCAGCCCATAGCGTGTATTTTACAACCTTCTAATTACGCCAATGCCAATACCACTTAGCATCGCATAACTCACAGAAAAAGGAAATCACAAAAATTCAACATAAAAAAAAGTGTAACATCGCCACCATCTCCTTAAACGACCACATGTATTCACTCGGCACGTTAATTTGAATGCCACGCCATTGGATCTCATATATCGAACGTTTTAATAGGTGTAATCAGTGCAAAGATGGATAATCTCGGTATTGATTGCAGCAACCGGGGAATTTCTGCGGGCAGCATCGCCGATGCCCCGGGACTTTAACTTTCCCGCGCGGCGAGAAGGTCGTGCCTCGCACATAACGGAACGTTTTCAAGTCTCTATAAACCTCAGGCTCGATTTCACATTTTTATCCTATTAACTTCCGGATTCATTGTTTCCTAATCAATTCCTCTTAGCTAAAAAAAACATTTATTTTGCTTCAATAGTCTCTAATCCTCAAGCTCAATTTCACAATTTTATTCTATTAACTTCCGGATTCATTATTTCCCAATCAATAAGCTAAAAAAAAAAATTTCATTCTATTTTTCAGAAATAAATCGTTGGACATTTTGCGATGCGGTTCAACGTTCAATTCATCTTTTTCTCTTGAGCTACTCGATATAGACTTGTCTATTTTTAAGTCCTGTGCGAAGCGAAGAAGTGAACGATGTGATTTATCGCGTGCAAGTCCTCGTTATAAGTTACCGGTACAACTCTCGATTACATACAACGTCAAATCAACTTAAATTTGTGTTTGATTCACGTCGGTGAATCTGATCCACAATAACTCAATTCATTTCATCGATCTTTTTAGATGATGAATGGGAATGAGAATTCGATAAGTCAATTCAATTTTCATCCGGCGAGAAATATGAAGACTCAAAAATTCAATTAAATGGAGTAGTGCTAAAATTATCTACTTCCACTCAACTTCAAGCTGCTTTTTCGATAGATATCCCTTCATTTAATGGAGATGATGGAATTTTTCTGGGGACAATTTTGTAGCTATCCCTTTTCTCTACAAAAATTGGGCCTCAGACATTTACATCGTTTTGGAAAGTTTTATGAAGTGTCAGTTCCACTACAACACCGAAAGATTTTATCATTAAAATATCACAGCTTGATGGAGAAATCAATGGAAACTGTCAATTTGAATGTGAAAAATTGCTTTCGTCACAGTATAATCAATATATTTTTTTTTATAAATTTGCAATTTTCTTCCGAATGGAATTTCTATGACGAAGTATTACATTTTAAATTGAATTCAATGGATCATTGACTTCAACATTGCCCTAATGTTGGCAACTGACATTGGTAGCTAACATTATCCCAACTCTAAACATTTTTACCTTACCTTGAAAATTCAGAGCAATTGGAGAATTACCATTTTTCTGCAGCTGAAAATTCGAAATTCCATTGTAAAAAATTGCAATTTGCTATTTTATAACTTCATTCCCTCGCTGAAATTGAATTCAATGTCATTCTCCGGAAAATTAGAATTGAACTTTTCATTAAATTTCAATTGTTAACAGTACATGCGCCGTTCAATCTTTTATTAAATTGCAAGATATTCATCAAAGACAGTTTTTTTGCCTTCCTTCATTTTTAATGATTGAAGATTAGGAAACTGAGAATTTTAGTATTAAATTTCTTGGGAGTCAACTATTTCAATTGATTTTCTTCATCAAGAATTTCATTGACATACCTAAAGCGCGTGCCACTGCACACATCGATCTCATCCATCACTGCAGTAATTAATCGTTCAATAAGAGGAGAAAAAACCCATTGTTTTTTTTCTTCAGAAGCATGCAGAATTATCGATCGGAATTCTGCACGTTGGAAGTTTATAAGTTATTCATTCGGAGTGTTTGGCGGGTCGATGAAATATTGAGCTGTTGAATTATTGGAATCTCGTGTGCAGTGAAAGGAAATCAAATCAAGTATTTCGGTTCATTGGTCGGTTATTTCTGTTCTGAAGGGAGTAACGTCTCAATCTGAAATATTCACGAATTAGTTTATGGTCTAAGTAATAAATGGTATTGAGTAAAAATGACTGTCGCCTGAGAATGAGCGATTTGAGACAAAATGCCATCAGAATTTTTCTGTAGGAGATTTTCTCATCTACAAAACGAGATCGATAGACATTTCGTTCTGCAATTTCTCAATCCTAAGATAATTGAACACATGACTTAAAACATGACTTTCTTTTTCAGTCAACAATTGACTTATTGTGATTAAATTTTTTTCGAATATCATTGGAAATACTTTCGTTGAAGAAAAAAAAAATCAAGTGAAATCTGGCAACTCACATAAATTGTATTTAGAAATGATCAAATCCGAGTAAACTTCCCGTGGATTTCAGGAATATTCTAGAAATGTTTAGAAATAATCCAGAGCCGTCTGGAAACCAGAACTCTGCACTGAAATTTCGAATTCACATGTCGCAATACTTATTCGGAGCCTGCGACTAAAATCCTTCGGGTATCAACATATATGGAGTTTTTCGGCGTTCAATCCACCCACCCAACGACTAGTGACAGTGAAAAACGCCCACAAATGCGTATATGTTATTCTCAGCGCTAAACTCTTAGTGTCTAACGAGATGCGTAGATTAACCTTTCTGAGAGAAGAACTTTTTCCTTTCAGTAATGATATGTAACAGCAACCAAACAATATGAAAAAATTGGTAAATTGCTTCACAGTCAATTAGATACCGGAGTTATTGTGAATATGCAAACAGGAAGTGGCTAAACGGAGAAAGAAAGTTGATTGGGTATTTTCAGGGAGAACAGTCAATGATAATACCCTTGGAGACTTTATCCCATTTTTTTATTATTAGATTTTTAAGAGAGACGAATTTTTCGTTAGAATTTGAGTAAAAAATTTGTGGAATTCATAGCGCACTGTCACCTGAATATCTCAAAATATTAGGACTAGCAAAAAATGATAAATTTGAATTTGAGTGTGCACTGAAGTGGTGAAATACAACGAAACAAGTCGAATGTTTTGCATTTCGTTTCATGTGAAATTTCGTTTAGACAAGTGATTTTATGAAAAATTAGTGAAACATCTTTTCAATTTTTGTCTTCATCATAAATTGGAAATCATCTACTCTCCAGATAGCCGCGAAAAAAAATTTAACTGATAGATAAAGTTCTTCATGTCGATGAAAATTTTGATGCACCAATCTGAGTTGATTATTCCGAAATAAAGTAAACAATATGCAGCAAATATAGGCGTTAACATGAGGTTAGATGGGGTTTAACGTTTTAAATATCTGAATCATTTGCATCCGTACCTCAGGTTTCTCCTTTGCCATAGGATTCAGTATATTTTTTCACATTGCCCTGTATTTTTTTATTTTTATTTTGGGATCTTCCAATAGACGAATTATTGATTTGGAAATAAATCCCATAAGAACCAATGTATAAGAATAAATTTATTTATTTCATTCCGTCAAAATTATTGCAATTAAATTTCCTTATTCATCACACATGTTGGTTTGATCAGTTCCCCCGTCAGTCGAAAAAATGACAGAATTTGACAAAAAATCCGTTGTTGACGGAAAATTCTTGAAAAATCCTCCGTTGTTCGGAGAATGAATAAACAGTCTAGAGAATCGACAAATGCAATTCGTTAATTTTGTCACGTTTGTTAGGAATGCAGTGACTGATCTCACCTCTGTTGCAATTCAAATGAATCGTCTCATCACAATTGAATCTCCGTTCATCTTTGGAACACCCGATACAAGAGTATTTTCAACTGTTTTTCTAACTTCATAATATTTTATTTTCAGTTCCTTCAGAATTTGGGGAAAGTCGATAGGACTGCGGATGACATTTTCGACGAGCACCTGCAGAATTTCACCAGACAACAGAATGCAGCTAACAAACTGCAAAAGGAATTCAATAACTACATAAGATGTGTTCGTGGTGAGTTTTTCAACTGAAACACATGTTCCTCGTATCCTGGGATGGAATAGTCCATGATTTCTAGACTGAAACTTATCGATTCCATGTCAACCTTATGTTAAATTGAGATTTTTTTGCTGTGATGGGATGTCTCGAGATGTCGGGAGGTACCCTTCCTTGACTGGAGGGCAAGCGCCATAAACTTGAGATATTATCGAATTGTTAATTTCTGGAGTAAAGTACCCCCGCCACAAGTTTCCGAGATGAATCAACAATTACGTAAAAGGTCTATTTTATGTTATTATCGGTGCAATCTTCATTGCAAAAATCAATGAAAAAAATCACATAGTCTTCAAATGTTCCGCAGATTTACCATTTATCCATTAAACAACTCCTTTGAGATAGCCTAGAAAGCTCTTCTCAAATAAAGCGAATGCTCCAGATGCTGAACGCTCAAGAGCATTAGCTCAATTGACAAATGAAATTATGAAGATCATAATTTTTAATGGGTTTATAAAATGTCCTTAACACGTGTAAATTATGGCAGTAGAAAATGAATTGGAGAACTAAGAGAACTCATTAGGTGTTCAAAAAATTTTTCAAAACGTTTGGCTACTGAGACACATTTACGCACTGGAAAATTGCCCTTAGATGATTAGAAAACCCCATTTGAAATTCAAGGTGTAATTTTTTACCGCTGTGAATTCCAAATTGCATCCATGTTTTATGGCAAACGTATGAAAAGACAATCCCTTGGGTCTGAAATCCTCCACACAATATTCACGAGCTCCTATAACGTTTATAACTCCAGTGAATCCCTAGCTCCAGGTGGAATAGAATCTTCATTGTATCTCGTCTCTACATAACTATGCTAGGAAGACCTGAAAACATCGCATGCGTATTTATAGAGCGAGACTTAAATTAACACGTTCGCGTGAAACACGAGTCGACTGCGACGTCTGAAAACTCTAATAAAGAAATAAAAAAAACGTACAAACATACAAAAAATGAGAGAAAAAGAAGTAAAGCAACCTTGCGTCACAGTGACCTGATTCAGACGTGCGAGTCATCACAGATCAATCGATCTCTCAGTTTTCCTAATTCGTCTGTTTATGCCCAATGATAGATAAACGGATGAAAATATAACGCTCCCAAGGCCTCTAATTGAGTTAAATTATCGAGTAAATAATGCACTTTCTTCTCAAGACAATGAAATGCAATTTTTTTTTTTTCATGCGATTGAAACACCACGATTCAGGAAAAAGGAAGAACAGAGGAATAATGGTGGTTGGAGTACGTTCATCTAGGATCGTGGAACCACTTTCCCCTTCGATACGTACCCGCATAATTCCATCATAATTTCTGTGGTATTTGAGTCTAGTTACTGAAGGTATTAGAAGCTGGTATACACGCGAATAATTGTACAATTTATTTTCCTGAAGTTCGCAGATTCCCAACCACTTTTTTCGTCCTAATTATTTATCTTCATCATTTAGCTTCATCGGGATTCAATACAAAACATGAATCTCTGTCCTGTAATTGATTAATTACAAGACTTTTTTTGTTGTCGTTTTTATCAATTAAAATGTTAATGAAATAGTATTACCAGTTTCTGTTATTTTGTTCATTTTATTCAATGAGCAATAGATTTATATTGAGCTGAAGATTGCAAAAATGACGTTTTTTCAATGTCTTATTATGACAGGTGAACGTACTCTCGACCCTCCTTCAAGTAGGTCAGGAAAGTCGAGTTAAACTACAACTTCAATGTTTTATTATTACGTAGAGCTATCGTTGCTTTTAATATCAGAGAAAACAAGGAGATGAAGACATTTCCTACCTTTCTCTTGAAAAAATGAAGTTTGTTTAGTGAATTTGATTGTGAAGAGAAAAACATTCGAGTTGAGAGCTGCAAGGAGAGAACTTAAGAGACTCGTTACGCAGAGCTCCAAGCTATTCACGTGGCAATTCGTGACATTTTAGTCGTCAAAAGGCCAAGCTGTTAGGCAATTATTATAGGTACTTGTTGTGTTTGAATGGGCACCATCCTTATTTATCAATTCTTTATTCACTTTCATGACCTCAGCTGTACAAACAGCATCAAAGACGCTTATGGATACACTCAATGAAGTTTATGAGAGCCAATGGACTGGCCATGATCTTTTATACGTTCAGGCACAGAATTTGGATATGCTGTGGCAAGACTTCACTCATAAATTGGCGGATCAAGTACTTGTACCTCTCAACACATATCAGAGCCAATTTCCGGAGATGAGAGTAAGTTCTATAATTTAATTACCATTCATTAGTGATGAATTTATTGAATGAATGGAGCAAACTTGTTAAGCTTTTTCAATTCTATCAACTGTTTTTTTGGATGAACTTTTATCAAATTAAACGAGGAAACTCGATTTTTATGAAAAATTTTCATGTGATTCACTTTTTCACTTTGATTCACATATATTTATTCACGGAAAGTTCCTTCTATTTCTTGATATTTTACAAAAAATAATCTGAAAGTAGAATTAATGTTGTTTCACCACTCCACATATGGTGTTGCAACTTTCTTTAAAAGGTGGAGGTTACGAACAATACGTCACAAAACTTTTTTTTTGTAGGAAATTTTATTGACTACAAAAAAAAATTTTACATTTTTTCCAAAACTCAATAGTTCCAGAATTACGAAGAGTTCTTCTCAGAGCACGCATAATAAAAATTAACAGAAAAACCTAGCGAATTGGTTAGAAAATTCTACTGGATTTCTATTGGACTTTCTATTAGTTTTTGGCCGATTTGAAATGTTCGATAGAAAATATTCAATAGAAAAAGTAATTAGAATTCGATTTTTCTATATAACTAATTCTCTTCACATATTCTCTTCAGATATTTTCTATAGAATTTCCTCGGCTCAAATTTTGTAAGTTTTTTTCATTCTATTTTTCTTTTTTTCTCATCAAGAAAATTAAATAAAAAAGATTAGAAAATTTGAACCAAAAAATTCTATAGAAAATATCTCAAAAGAATAAATTATAAGAAAAATCAAATTCGATTGACTTTCTCTATTGAAAATTTCAATAGAATCGGCCAAAAACTAATAGAGTTTAATAGACATTCAGTAGAATTTTTAAACGAATTCGCTAGGTTTTTCTGTTAAATTTTTTCATCCATGAGAAAAAGAAGATTCTGAAATTAAAAAAAAATGATAGATTTAACGGTATTTTGAGATATTTTTAGATAACAATTTCTAGAATAAATGCTCTATTGTTATTGTCATCAAAATTCAAATGATTAATTTCATAAAATTTTGTTCAAGAAATTCAAAAAAAAATTCTAGATTCTAGAGAAATACGCGTTTGAAAATATTGCTTCTAAAATTTAAAATAATTTGACTTTGAATTCATCAGAATTTTCATAACTTATTCCAGGCATATTTTTTCTCAAAATTAGAAAAAAATCTGAATTATAGGAAAAATGCACGTAGAATTCAGAAACTACAATTTCTAAAATTTATAAACTTTTATCTTGAAACTGGCGATTTGTTTCTCTGTTCAGTGTCCAAACGGCTGAGACTTGATTGAACGAATAAGCCTTCAGAATAATTGAAATGTCTGAACGTTTTATAAATAAAATAAATGAAAAAAGGTCACGGTTCATTGAATTGATCTTTTCTTTGGAGAAAAATACGTAAATAAGTTCGATCACCGAACATCGATTCAACGTTATAATTATGAGAAAATCGATTTTACCTCTTTTCCATTGGATTTTCATCCTTCGGCTGCATGAATGAATTTCACTAATGAATATGAACATATCCTGATTATTCTAGAAAAAAATCGACAAACGCGGACGCAAGCTGGTGGATTACGACAGTCAAAGACACAGTTTTCAGTCGTTACAGTGCAATCCAAAGAAAAGGGATGAGTTGAAAGTAACGAAAGGGAAGGAATTATTGGAAGAAGCTAAACGAACGTACGAGCAGTTGAATTCAGAGTTGCACGACGAATTGCCAGCACTCCATGATTCTCGTGTCCTATTCCTCGTCACTAATCTGCAGACGCTGTTTGCTGCTGAACAAGTATTTCATGGTGAAAGTGCTAAGGTAACTACCGAATATAATCTAAAATATGGCCATTGAAGAAAAAATGAATAAAGAATCAACTTTGACGTAGAATTTTCCATTAGTTGCAAAAAAAACTAATTGCTCAATTAAAAGAGAAAATGAATTCCTTCATTAATACTTCATCAACATTTTCATTAGGTTTTCTCGGAATTAGAAGCAATTGTTGACAAATTGGCTAACGGCAGCCAGAGAGGCCCATACACATTGAAAAAGATTTCCGATCTACCGTCACCAAAATCACCGAACGCAAACTCTTCGTAAGTTAATCTTTTCTCATGTCTGCTTCCACAACTCTGCAATAATGAAATTGAAAATTGTTGAATTATTAATTGTGGTATTTCTGTTAATTGCAGATTGATAATCAACACGCAACCGCCACCCCAAAACGATATTTCAGCTGGTAAATTTTCACTTTTCATTATCTTTCTGCTGTACGAATGCAATCTTGCAATTAATGAACGTGCATTTAATGCTGTTTTTACTCTAATCATTCAATCGCTAATAAATTATAATATATTGTGACGTAATTATACTCTCTTATCATTGAGTGTTGTGGTTTTTTTTTCTGTTTGTTGAGTGCAGTTTGTTTGTCGCGTGTTACAGCGGATGAAGAATCGACAGTTGAGAGTGGGGATACATCGCCAACTACTCAGTTGAATGGCAATGCAAATAGTAATTCTAACAGCAATGATAACTCAATCAATAATCAAACTTCACCACAGTCCGTACAGCCGGCTAAGAGGGTCGAGGAATTGTATGATATACCCACAGGTAAGTAGTTTTGTAAGGATTAATTCAGATTCGAGACTGTGGTAGTATTCAGTTTTCACATCAAAATTCAATACTGTAGAAATGTGGTAGAATTAAAGACAAGTTTGGCAAAATGGACACTCTATTTTTCTCAAGGGGAGACTACTATGAGCTTTAAAAGTCGCGGGCGATTGGATTGAGATTCCTCGTATATTGATGATCGACTATATGTCTAAAATCGAATAATTAGTGCAAAAAAAAATTGGTTATTCTTTGTTTGCCCCGCAAACGCTTAAAAAGTTAAAAATAGTTCAGGGCCTCCAGTTTTCCAGCTACAGAGGTATCTTCTTTTTCAAAATTTTTGAAAAAATGTGTACAATAATAACTACGAATTAGTTTTTCGAAATTCGACTCCTACACAGCTAATTGCGTCTTGTTTAAAATCAAAATTGGCGCCACTCATGTAAAATAGACAGAAAAATCATCTTTAAAATATTTAAAATATATTTTCGATTATTTCAAAAACATTTTTTGGCCTTTCACATGGATGGTGCAATTTTTTATTAAAAAAATAACGAAATCAACTGTGTAGGAGTTGAATTAAAAAAAAAATACTTGGTAATTGTTATTGTACACATTTTTTCAAAAATGTTGAAAAAAAACCTGTAGCTCAAAAAATGAAGGCCCTGGACTATTATTAACATTTTAACCGTCTGCGGAGCATATGAACAATAAACAATCAATTTTTTGCACTAATTATTCGTTTTTAGACATATATAATCAATATTCAATGCATGAGAAATCCTCACTCCAATACCATGGGAATTTTAAAACTCATAGTAATGTCCCCTTAAATATAATAATTATTGGCAGTTATCAACTTGCGATTTTTTTGGTTCAAACGAGATTTGTTTGTGAGATTTTTTTTCCTCCCAGTGTAGATGAGTCCCGAGCTAGATTACATGAGCCTTTGAGAAATATCATGAAATCCATTTTTCAATACAGAATATTTGAGCTCCAAAAAAAATTGTCAATAGCAATAAAAAGGAAAAATGATCGCGACGTGAAATTGACTTTTCTTGTTTCACCGCTCCACTACTGATTTATTCGAGGAGAAAATGACGTACATCACACCAACTCGGAGATAATTTAAAGTTTATATTTCTGTCATTCGATTGTTGAAATTACTCATATAAATTATTCATATTTATAATACATAGAAAATTGTTGCCATTATTAAATGTAATTCATGTGTTTACTGCAAATATTTTGTGGGTTAAAAAATTCTATCGAACGAGTCGACTAGGTTCGAAATAATCTTGGCCTGAGCAATTCTTTTTTTTTCTTCGTTGAACCTGTTTTATTCTCGCATGTGTAATTGACATATATCCTCATATTTTTTTCACTCTCTCATTGCAAACAATTGATGAGAGAATCAGAAATATAAATTCCATCCTAAAAACGAATGATTTCACTCAAAACTCGTTGTCAACTATTCAATAACCAGCCATATATCGATGCACATTACTATCCCGTTCTCAATTAATTAGAGGTGGACTTTTGCTTATCTATTTAGCATTGCTCAATTAATTCTGTGCGTTTGAAATGAGTTTTTGATTACACTTTCATTGATCACAGGACAACTGATCACAGGAAAATTGATCACAGGACAATGGATCACGGGATAATTAGATCATTGAAACAATACATTACACAATATTAAATAATGAGAATTCCTATATATTTAAATCAATCATAACAGAAAGAAATATACGAAAGTTAGAAAAATAAACATCAATCAATCAGAAGAAACAGAAATCACAGAGATACATTGTTAGCGACTGCCCGAAAATATTCCAAAATATCATCCCATGACGAGGACGTGGTGACAACAAGAACGTTGCACTTTTTAACCGATTTATAATCAAGACATCTCCAAGTGATAGTCTTCGTTGAAGCATTTTCACGATGTTTGTTAAACAAATACCCTTTGCAGAGTAATAATTTATGGCCCCTCTGGCTCAAAACAAAACGCAGAGGCATGACGCACAGTTATACGCATACTACACAGCAACTAAACGACAACTGAAATCAAGTGATAAGTAATTCGAAATAATAACTCCCCTTCCCCTCAAATTACCCAAAAAATCAATACATTGATTCGGCGACATGCGACGTTTCTGAGACGTGACCAACGTGATTTGTTATACGTATACTACACCGCAGCTGAACGACAACTGGAATCGAGTGATAAGTAATTCGAAATAATAACTCCCCTTCCCCTCAAATTACCCAAAAAATCAATACATTGATTCGGCGACATGCGACGTTTCTGAGACGTGACCAACGTGATTTGTTATACGTATACTACACCGCAGCTGAACGACAACTGGAATCGAGTGATAAGTAATTCGAAATAATAACTCCCCTTCCCCTCAAATTACCCAAAAAATCAATACATTGATTCGGCGACATGCGACGTTTCTGAGAAGTGATCAAGGTGATTTGTTATACGTATACTACACCGCCGCTGAACGACAACTGGAATCGAGTGATAAGTAATTCGAAATAATAACTCCCCGCCTCAAATTTTCAAAAAAAAAATCAATATATTGATTGGGCAACGTGAGAGACTACTGGGAAGTCAACAAACGTGATTCATTATCCCGTGATTTATCATCCCGTGATAAAATAATTTGTGATGACTTGTCCAGGTGATTAAATTTGTGATCATTTGTCCCGTGATCAAATGACCCCGTGATAAGTAGGGGTGTTACCGATTTTTTCTAACTCAAGATTGATTCCTAGAAAAATCTGAAACTACTTAATTATTGAAAATATTTCTATTTAGGTATAAAAATAGAGTAGAAATTGATGAGTCCATCACTAATCTGAATTACAAAAATTGAATCGTTCTAGACGTGGAATATGAAAATGGTACCAATTTTTCCCTAGGAGCTACCACCGAAAACTTGCCACCAGGTGTGTTGTACAGGGTGAAGGCCACTTACAAGTACAGTCGCGAGGACGCTGACGAGCTCTCTTTCGATGTTGGGGAAATAATTCGAGTGGTGGAGTACGACGATCCCGAGGAGCAGGTTGGTACTAAACTTGAAATTATCTCATCAATAATATTAGAACAACAAATGAAATTTAATTCCTCAATGTGTCAATTTTAAGAAAAAAATTCTTTAAAATTTTTTCAATTGTGGCAGGAGGAGGGCTGGTTGATGGGAATGAAAGAGGGCACTAACGAGAAAGGAATGTTCCCAGCGAATTTCACTAAACCCTTGTGAGCAGAAGTGCTCAATTTGCCAGTCACACTCCAATGCTCACGAAAAAGAAAAATTAATTAGAAAATAATTGCGAATGAAAATAAAAGAAACTATTGAAACAACGTATTTTACTAATAAAAGAGTAGGTAAGAGAGGTAAATTTTTATGCGAGAAAATAATGAGTCATATGACGTGAAAAACTGAAATTTGAATATCGTAAAAATTTTAATAATTTCTCATCTAAAAAAAGAAAAATGAAAAGTGGATGGACTATTACCAATCGTTAAATGATGAGAAAATATTCTTGTAATTAAATGACATATTTTTATTCGAAAAACTGTAACATTTGATTCACTAATTTTCATGACGAAAAATGTATTAATTTCGAAAAATATTTTTATTCTATGTTACTTCGAGAAGGGAGAAAGAATATCCGTTTGACGAATGGGAACAAATATTGCTTTGTTTTTGATAATTTTTTCCCTCACAGTATAACGATGAAAAGAATTAAACAAAATAAAATATATGTAATGATATTTTATGATGGTTAATGCTGGATGGTACTGCGGATATATGAATCAGCCCAATGTGCCTTAACCCAGCCACACTGTCTGTGCCAATTGACACTCACTGCTTTCATAATGTGAGATTTTTTCTTCTCATATCAAAACAAACGAAATAAATAGCGTATACACATTACTAATAATCAAAGGAGTTAATACGAATTAAAATACATGTAACATGGTATACGATGAGAAAAAAAAATCACAAATTTGGTAATGAAGCTAAGATAATGTGTTTCATCAAAAATATATGAATGAATCGAGAACCACGGTAATTATTGTCTTCCACTACTAATTACGATTCTCCAAGACTTGATTATCGTCTTCACACAATGAAAATGAATTTCTGATCTGTTTTTCCAATTATACATTTTACTTTGTTTTTTTTTGGTATTAAGTCTTTTGACATTTTGTAATATTTCTGTTTTATACTTCTCCCTCGAGATTTTTCCCAGTATTTGTAATTAGTTATGGAAGCACAATATGCCAGCCAAAACGTTACAATACATATACATATTGAATTACTATTATTTTATGAAATTGTACATAGATTTATAAAGTCTAAGGTTATTTTATGAAATACCTTTGTAACGATGCGAAAAAAACTGTCGAAATTTAAAGAATAAAAAAATAACGAATTAATGGTTGATAAGAGAATAACATAAAAGAGATAATATTAGACTAGTGAATGACGATTCAACAGCCAAATTTTGAAGGTCCAACAACGTCCATCTATTAATCAATATAAACATGGAACAATATACAATGTTGATGCCTGCTTTTTAGAGAAGATCATAGAAAAGATAAGCTATATTAAAAAGGAACAATAATAAATTATTAAAGATTAATTGACTCGATAAAGTCTCGAATTGATAACAATGACTTTTTATCCTCAATGAAAGAAAACAAATGATATACGATAAATTCAATTTAGATAGTGGTCCAAGAAAAATGAAAATTAAATTGACGAATTTGTTGGTGTAATTTTGCATTGCAAAACTGACGTTAAAGTATTTCTGAAAAAAAAAGAATAAAACTCAAAGTACTGATTTTGAACTTCGACATGAAAGCGTGTCTTTGTACTCTGTGATGATGTGAAATATAACTCGAATCATCCATTCATTTCACTCAATTACAGAATTCAATTCCTAGCGAGGAAAAGCTGGGCGAAATGAACAATTTTTTCATCGCTAATAACTCTGATTTTTCTGCGCTGAGGCATTGAAAATTTTAAAAGTTCCATTTTGTCCTGCTTTTCTCCAATTGAAAAAGACAAAAATAGAGACGGTGGATTGTTTTTTTTTCTTAATGAGAAAATTTGTTTATAGTTGATAAGATTCTTCCGTTGATGCACTACTTCTGGCTGCTTCAAAAATTCAGTAGAATGAAAGAAGAAAAATTAAATTATGCAGGTACCACAGACCTAATTTTGCTGAAACTTAAACTCAAAGAAATCCAATGAAATGTTCCACTTGATTACTTTCCTTGATAAACGTAATTAGAAATGTGATGAATTATTTTTCCGAAGTTGATTGATGTAGTGCGTCGATGGAGGTAATCTGATTGTTATTTTACTTGTCATTTTTATGTCACGTTGTTTAATTTTACTTGGAGCCATAAGTCATATTATCTATAATCCTATACGTACAGATGAAAGTAATATTATACATTCAATTATCATCATGTGTCTGTCATTATGACTTTTTCTTTTGATTGCCTCAATGAAATTTATATTACGAAAATAATAAAATAGATAGCGGTTTGTATACAACATAATTGACTCAACATTTGCAATCTCATTTTCCCAATTTGTGATAAATGAGTTGAATGGAATTCCTGTTGATTAATATTCAATAGACTTGGGGTGAATTGCTGCATATGGGTATTAGTTCAAACCTCATAATCAATTCGGCGGTGAAGTGGTGGAACAAGCTGGGTAAAGGTCTCTTCAATTCAAAAGAGATAACGAAATTGTTATAAAGTACAAATTTTTCCATCTTTCTTAAGGATTGACGTAAGCATCTTTTTTACAAGAGTAAATTTTTTTATGGTCAAATGCTATGAAACTTTGGCAAAACGTTATTTGAGCTATTATAAAATGATCGATCTATCGCTCAGCTCTTCGTCATATAGTCAATATCGATTTTTTTGGGTTTTTATGTTTTAGTTCATATCGACAATATGACAAAGAGCTAAGCGATAGATCGATCATCTTATAATGGTTCAAATAACGTTTTGCCAAAGATTCATGGCATTTGACCATAAAAAAATTTACCAGGGCTATGTAAAGCTGAATAACAATTGGAGAGCATTTCAGATTATCAAAATAAAATAAACAACCAAGATCACGTGCGAAAGATAATCCACCCGGGCCTTAATCATACAAAAGTTTCTAATATGAATAATCGCTCTCTCCAACAATGAACAGAACAACAATGAACAATCATTTATGCGAGATGGTACCTTTTTAAAATAGAAATCTCTCAAAAAGGGAAATCAAGGAATACTTTGTACCTAAGTTACAGGATTGCTATCATATCATCATTATTATTTTGCTTGGAATTTAATTTCTTAAGTTTGATTATTGGATAGCTGAAATGAAAAACCACTCTGCTTCGTTTCTCAGACAATGAATATGTTTCAAGAGCAAAATACGTATAGTAACATAAAATGACAAGGAGGTAGTGTTCAAAATAAGATTTCCTGCTTGCACAGAAAATAACAATTCTCAAGTCTATAAAACATAAATCTATTTTTGCGACTAAAATAGTTTCTATCTTAGGACACTCTTCAAACGGCCAGTGTGAGGATTTGTAATTGGTGGTAATTTTCGAATTGATATTGCCTTGGTTAAAACAAGGCTTATTTGGGCTCTCATTGTATACGAAAATGATTTTGACATTAAGTTATTGAGTACTAAAACTAAACTCAACCGAAAGACTGCATTCACAAGAATTTTCGACAATGAATTTCCATTTATTTCATTATTTTACTCAGCTACGAAATTTCTCACTATAGTTGAAATACAGATAATTAAAAAAAAAGATCCCTAATGACTTGTATCTTAAGGATGCATTCTCTAAGAATCAGATTTTTTAATTCGAGGAAAATTCTTTAATCTTTTTAGATTGATGGGGCAATATGTGGAACCAACATTCGTGATAATTAAGCAAAATTAGTTACAGTAACATTGGCAAAATGAAATAAACATTGTACTTCTTATATACGGGTCTTAATGGGATTCATTTTCAAATTGATGATTCATCTACTGAAAGAAAGAAATAGAAGCAAAATTGTATACTATACTGTATACTAACTAGTAGCCGAAATTTCAGATGTTCATTCCAACTTTTACGCGCATTATGGAATGTTAAATACACTCTCAGGTGAAAAAATTAGAACAACGCAAATATCTGCAAAAATTTGGATAAACGGTTATTCATATTCTGATTCATTTTGATAGGAGATAGGAAGACAAATATGTTGAAAAAAAAAAAAAATTCGGAACAGTAGTTTGCGAGACATTGAGCAGTTTTTCACAAAAAATTAAATATCTTCTAAACTACGTATCCGTTTCCGCCCATCTACAATGCCACCTTGCAATATCATAAGAGCTACGACCTCACCTAATTTCAACCTCCTATTTAATTTTTTTCTAGTTATCGAGTACACATGGATTTAATCATAAAAATGAAAAATAACAATTATTATCAAGCTGTCCCGAGTTATATAGAGATATTCTCACTTGATTTGATAGATATTATTACAAGGAATAATTTGACGTTAAAAAAATCAAGTCAGTCAAGTAGTTCTCGAGATATTAAAGAAAAAATGTTTTTGATAAATTTTTGTATTTCAAAAATTATTCTCATAAAAATTATAGCAATTATGGGATAACATTTCAGCTTTTTAGCTACTCTTTTTTTCGTAAAAATTCATAAAAAATTTCCGACAAATCCGCACATACATAAGGACATTGATGTTGTGAATCAATTTTTCAGGAAAAAAACATCGATTATTTAAAAAATCGATGTTTTTCTCATTACACAGGACCAAAAACAAATTTCTTTAAATAATTTTTTTTCTTCTCGTTTTTATTGAAAAACATGTGGGGAGGTTGGGGTAAAACGGACACTTTTGACTTTTTAAAAAATGTTAATAGGAGGTTGAAATGTTGATAAAATTTAATAATTTTTTTTTCAATATAAAGAACGATTCTTCCCCTTTGTGACGAGCCTAAACTGAGCTCAATTGATGAATTTGTTTCTGAGTTATGAATAATTTTAAAAATTCTAAAGTTCTATTTTATCCCCCGCGCCCCTATTTAAAAAATACAACACGAGGAACTTACGTTTTAATGATAAGTACTGCTGGAGAGAAATTTTCAATCTCGAAGCAGGGTTTTTGATTAATTAAAAAAATATATATAGAATATTTTCCGTTAGGTGCAATAATTTTTAAAAATTCAATACATTTAAAACATATAATTTAACAAAATTAAAAAATTTTAAAGTTAAAAAAAAAAATAGACGACTGGACTTGTTCACTTATCATTTGTAACATACATACTGTAGAAAATAATTACTTCTGATTGCGGATAAATTATTATTTTGTTTATTCTCAATAAATAAACATTATTCTTCGGCAAAAAAATGAAAAATTTTATTAGCTTCTTCTTCTATTCGTTATGGTGATATCCTCAGTGAAGACAGAGAGGCAAGCACCCATTTTATTAGCTTGGTCGAAACATCGATGTTTGGAAAAAGGAATCGAAAATCGATGTTTGGGTATGAAAAATCGATGTTTTCGACTAATCGACAAACATCGCCCATCCCTAACACACACGGATTTTCTAAAAACATCATGTCTTCGTGTTTCATAACATTCTACATCATTTCCAAGCAAAATTAGAAGATGGTCAAAATCAAGGATTACAAAGCTTCTTTTCGGAAGCAAAAAAGATGAAAAACAGCCCTCCCCCCACAAAATTGATCCTGTATTCTTAGAGCTTAATGCTCTTATATCTGCGAAGCTCAGTCGATTCCACAAACTCTAAAAAACCTATAAAGCCCTAGAATGGAATGACAATCCTCTTAGAAAAACCAAGCCAAGGGCTCGTTAGTTAAGCCGCAGTAATCACGTGTGTACATCTGTGAACATCCGACAATTTTTCCACCATTCAAAAATGCCGCGACTTAACCCCCGTACTACAACTCCCCCCAGTGCCGGTGAAACCAACTGACCCCATCCACCCCAACGACCCCAACCCCTCCCGCCAACAAACCCAACCAAATCTCTTCGAAAGCAGTACAACTCCCAGAAAATGGTCCAGCATCGAATTCATTCGAAAATACGATGAATTTCAGGAAAATTTGAGGAGCTGAGACCCCTTTCGCTTCCGCCCCGGAAAAATCATTTAACCCCTTTCCCGCGGGGGTCAGGGGTGGGACGTCAAACAGGTGAGGCATGAAATGATTTTAAACGTCGGAACAGTGGGTGGAACAATGATACGGGCGCCGTTGGCGACGGAGGGGGGCTGATGACTAAAAAGGTGTGCGTGTGCGCCGCCGACGTTTGCGGCTATTCGACGAGACTATATGCCGATTAGAGGTTTGCCGGCAGGCCCGTGTTACGTCGGACGCCATCTTGCGAATAGGCGGTTACGGTGGGGCAAGAGAAAAATATAACCGCAGGCACCGTGGAGCCGTGTATCTGCACGGTTAAAAAAAAAAGAAAAAAACGAAGGAGGAGAAAAAAAAGAGAGGTTAAAAGAAAGTCGTAATCAAACAAACCAAGAAACAGTCACTGATTTATATAATACTAATAATAATTTTTTCACGAAACCTGGTGATCACTGTTCACTCCCAACAATTGCCCCAAATGAACAAGTGAATGAGGAATTAAACAGTGAAGTGAAAAGTAATGGAAAAGAAGGATTAATCATTGTGCAATTATACATTCGATGATCAGTGAATTTGCTTTCCTCTGGTTGTTGGTAAAATTGTGAAAATTGGGAGGAAAACTTGTGGAACAGTCTCAAAAACAGAAACAGAAATAAATCAAAACAGATAATTGTCTGAATGGATGGAACAGGGCAGTACCGGGCAGTAGGCTCGAGCGCGTACGCGTCGTGAAATAAGCCCCCGGTTGCGCTCCCTGCTTTTTAAAGCCCCCTTGAACCATTTAAATCACCACAGTATCCCTCAACAAAACTCCAAAATTGTCTCCCCCCCAGTGATTGTCGAACAAAATCCTACAGACGTCAAGTTCGCAACAAGAAGAATAAAAAAACTCAGGGAGTTTAATCTTTCATGCTGAAAAAGTGGTGACACACACTCGAAGCATAAGTGTGAGAAGTGCAAAAACCAAGTGGTGAATGAAAATTGATGTTTAAATTATTGACAAAAACTGTTGTTAATCATTGCCTTGTGGCCCTCAGTATTTCACCTGTTGTCCAGTGTACCAGAGAAAGAGTAAAATAATCTTTTTTTTTAAACAAAAATATTGGAATACTGGTGGCGGTTGTACGTCTCCGTCTGTCGTTACGTTCTCCGTGCTTCCTCCCCCATTCGGTTGGGGCGGGTGGGAAATACATCACCAACACACACACACACACACACACACACACACACACACACACACACACACA